ATAAAATGAGCAAATTGTAATCTAGCTGGTAAGTCTGCTGCTAAAAGATTTTGCACGGGTGTAAAATGGTAGGGATATAAATTTTCCTTGTGAAAGATTTTGAGAACTGTTGTTTTACTAACACCGGTTTCTCTAGCTACCTGCCTGCTGCTAACTTCTGGATTTCCTGCCACTCTTACTAAAATTTCTTCTTCTTGGTGAACTGTAACAGTACGCCCTGCGTTGTCTCTTTTAGGACGAAAACTACCAGTTTCTCCAAGTCTATTAAAAAGTTCTTGAAATAGTTTCCGATTTGGTTGCCTTCTATTCGGATACAACTCTGAATACCGACGAAGCGCTCGACGTCCAACATAATCTGATTGCGCATAAACGCAAACCATATCGCGCATTTCTCCATTTGAAAATAAATTATGGCGTGGCATGTTATCTCGCACTACGATTTAGATCATAAAGTAAAGAATACTTTTAATAAGGCACGAATAATACTGTAATATTACTGACAGCACTAAGATAAGTGGAAAATGTCAAAATTGGATTTTAACATAAGCCTACTTGAAAATTTTTGCCGATTTGTAATTGAATGCAAATACATTGGAATTTTCAATGGCAAATTTTACGAGAACGGTGCCAGATAGCGACTATCAAAAAGTATAGCTTTTTTGTGTAAAAGAAGTTGTAAAATCAGAATTTGCTACCTGAGAATTAGATTTTTGAAAGATAAAAAAGTTCTGTCGTTTTCAACGCATTCGACCTAGCGCAGGTGGCGCTCTCTATGAGCTACAAGCAAACCATGGATATATTTCAATCTCTCGCCCCAGAAAACCCCTAACACCAAAATTTCATCTCGATATGAGCATTTATTATGAAATAAATAAGAAAAAACTAAAATAATATTTTGCATTAAACACCCTGAATCTCTGTAAGTATCAACTTTTGGACTAAGGTGAGTTTGTCTAATTCGCAATATTTTCACGTCAGGAATCTAGTCATGAATTTTGGCCCATTACATCGCGACCACCCTGTATATGTTCAATTGATTTAGGAAAGACTATACACATAAGGTATGTGTACAAACTATCAACTTGCAACATGCTTCAACCTTTAACCACCAGCTTCATCCTGATCAAATTACGGCACAACGCCAGCCCAAATTGCGGCTTACATTTGCATCATCTAAATACACACAAAATTCAGTGGAGGGCATCGAATACATTGCGCATCGAAGCTCGCCTTGTTTCCTGCTTTTCTGCAGTTTTCCCTGCATCTCGCCTGCAGAAAATAAGATTTCTCCTGCATTCGATACTCGACTGCAGGAAATTTCTAAGTTATTCTCGCGTTGAATTAACCAAACGAAATTTAATTAGCAGGTCTAGCTAGGGGATATTTTACAGTGGCGGCGGCGTATGGCCCTAGGATAATAGGAGTCCCTTGAGGAATAGAATTCCTTTGTACTGGATAAAAATCAAACCGAGACTTATTTTTGAAAGGAAATTCACCAGCCTTACAAAATGGCAAAACAATAACGAAAGTAGTCATTTGGCACTCACAAAGAAAATTGACTGCACATTTCCAAGGGAATGTGATGCGATAAAATATACGGTTCTGCGGCGCTACTGGTTATATTAAAATATAGTAATGTAATAAAATTTATTGGAGGAGAGACGTATGAGATGAATATTGCCTTCGCCAGCATGCCATTTAGGGGGCAATAACGCCAGATGAATCCCATGAAAAATGTTTAAAACTCGTAAATGCTCCTCTCAGGACATATGTCTTGTTTAAAAGCAATTTGTCATGCGATATTTTGAACGGGCCGCGTAAAAAAGTCCGTTATGACTCAATAAATAAACCGCGACTAGCGAACGGCTGATGCGAGGGACGACTCCCTTCTCGAGGATGACGAGATGGAACGAACCCTGCCTCTGTAAAAAGCACATTCCTGCTTTTACGGGTACCAGAAAAAGGTCCGAGAGAAATTTTGCCTTCTTATATGAGATATAAAAGCGTATAGTCCCGTCCTTACTGTAACACTGATATTACGACACCGGTATAAATTGTTTATTACCTTGTAAGGTAATGAGCCCGAACAAGCGTAAAGGAGGATTTGGAGCCTCGTTTAGCACGATGCTTATGGCTTGTAATTCATTGTAATTCTTCCTTCAGTACTGCCTAACTTCTAGCTTTTAATTTCAGACTGCTAGTGATTTGGCAATATTTTGTTTTACCTTAAGTTATTTGATTATTAACATTCATACAAAAAAAAATTAAGAATAATGAGAGCTAGATTGTACTAATAATAATATGCATTTTCAGTAATCAATCGTTGAAACTTCAAAACGGCGCTTAAAGTTAATGATAATCAAATTTGTTAAAACTTATTGAGAACTCCTGGAATTGTTCCCGAGTTACGTACTACATAAAAAGCGGTGAATAGATATGGCTGTAAATAGTNATATATATTGGAATATAATTTCAATGCATGTGTGTTGATTTTAATTTTAATTTTTAATTAAGCTGTAAATTGTTCCATACAAACCTCTACCATCTTTTATGTTTTACCTTGTACTTTCTTATCCCTGACCAGCTGTTAGTAGACAATATCAGAAAATCTCAGGAGTCGGTTCTATATTTACACACAAACTAATACAATGCAATACACTTTGGAATGAATAGAGAGTTTGAAATTCAATAAAGTGTTTTTTCAAATATTTGTTATATCTATGACTACTTAAAAACTTTATAAACTCAAATTAGGAATACATTTTTATATGTAATATGTTTTCCACAACAAAGAATATTTTAATAACAAAATTTGCCTTTCTTTTCGGCTCATCTTACAAACAATATAAGGAATAATTATAAAAAATTTACTATTAACTAACTTTATTCGAACTATGTAATACTGAGTACGTCTCCTTATATATTTGTTGCCTATCAGACAGGGCATCTCTTATATCTAAACAGGAACGAAAATGGCTGTTCATTTGACAGATTTTGTCAGAGCTCGTGAAAATAGTGAAATATTGAAGTGATTGGATTATGCTTATTTCTGTACAGGTCCTGTGATTTGTTATTTATACTTTGCAAAGATTTGATGCGAGAGAAAGCATGATTTATTGGCAGTAGCTAGCAATATTTTAGTGCACTGTGTTTTAGGTACCTGGTACGTTGTAAAATTTGAAGTTTTCTTTGCTGGAAACTACATAGAGGCCTTGCAGACTATTTATGGGGCCACTGGAAACTGCTTTGGAACTGCTTTATACTGCTAGTAGCGGAAAATTTTCATGGGATGACAAAATAACTTTCTCTGGACTCTGGCAAACTGTGGATTTAACTGGTGAGTGTTTAATTTTCTTTCTTGGACTGTTTTTTCTTGCTTTATTTTTCGGGAGCTGCCTTTCCACGCTGTACATTTTGCAAAACCCAAGCCGTAAGCAATCAATAATTTTTTTGTTTCTCTCATCCTTCTTGAATATTCTGTCCCTAGTTTTGCTTAAGGTCCATACACAGAATTTTTTAGTCTTTGGATGTCCTTTTCAATCACTTTTTCACAACACTACTTATAACTAACACATTTTTAACGAATGTCTATTTTTATATACAATTCTATAAATTAATTAATAAAATATTCTTTATTTTATGTTTTTTAGGTCATCTCCGGGTATTCTTACAAAGCCACCTTTAGCTTTGACATTTGTGAAATTTATTCTAAAATTTGACAGTTGATGAAAATTTTCATGTTATGGTTCACTTCAAAACTGACTGACACAATCTAAGAAAAAATGTTTTGACCTTAAAATTTCACTTTTCTCCGAAATTTGTGGTGAAGCCATGAAATTTGACTACAGGATCATCTTCAGCGCATCAGTCCTTCAGAAATGATGTGTGGCTCCCTTGGGTTTGTACTTTTTTTTGTGTGGCTGTGTTGGCGAAGACAGAATTGTTGAATCCACAATTTAATATAAATATAAATAAAAATTTACATTGAGATTAAAGCAATAAAAAATATCTTTTATCCGGCAAATAAAAGCAGGTGATCGACCGCTATGGACAACGTCTACTGAACAACCGAAATAAAAACTGGGAGTGTGAACCGAGTTAACATAACACCCTTTTTCCGCAAACTATTATTCTATTAATCAAATAGTTTAGTTACGTTTCTGGACTGGGGGACGAGAGACGCACCGAAGGCGTGGTCGGGAGGATTCGTTGATTTATCGTCTCGATTAAATCGGGAAACTTTAAAACATATCCGGGTCGCAGTTAATTCGACTCGGTGATTCCCGAATTTGTCATCTTTCCGGGTCCGTGGAAGCCCGGGTGAACGGTGACGGTTATCTGGTAAGGCGGGAGGCGGGTGGGGACGAGGAAGGATTAGCCCCCGTGCTTCGCTAACTGGGTCGCCCCGGCGTTATCTTTGCATCTCCTGATTATTCGAGAATGTGTTACGGGACGCTTCCAGCCCGATACCGCGACGTTTGTTATTAATCACTTTCGATTAGGCCTGACGCTAAAGCATATATTAGATTAAATATTCATGCCTAGTCTGTTTCTGTCCTAAGATACGTCACTTATTTGCACAAGTACGTCGCTATAGGTTTATGTAAGTATTTCTTTATATCACTCTTCATCAACGCAAAGCTACTAATACGTTTGAAAGCAGAAAAACCATTTGTAGTTCGAATTCAGTTGTATTTTTAACTGCTTTTCCGAAATCGAGCTTGAACTCGAAACATTAGATTCGTCTCCTCGAATGCAATCGAATAACTTACGGTTTGTGGTCAAAGTCTCTTCGTCTAGTTTTTGCGAAGACATTTCTTAGTCCGAAAGACATTTTTGTGAATTCGTACTTACCAGGTACCACTGCTCCCTGAAGAGCGGATCCGGGAAGGTCACCGACGGTATGGCCCTGTAGTGGGGTTGCCCGTGAACGGGATGTTCAGCGGAGGGTGCTATGTCGCCTACGAATTGACTGAAGGGGGATATGGATGGGTCGTTCGCGAAATCACGTTTCCTGCGCTTCTTCTCGTGCTGCTGCTGGACCCAGTGGACCTGCAATAAACGACGGCATCATAAATAATAGAAAAACTATATTCCAGACTATTTTAATGTATTTGACAGTGAATTTATATGCATACTAAAGCAATTTTAATATATTTTGTGATGAAATATGATGTTTCTAAGTATTTTGTCATATTTCAAAGTTGTTTCGGTACTTTCGAAGGTTTCTAAAGCTTATCGGAGGAATTCTGATATATTTTGAAGCATGGTAATGCGTCTTGTAATTATTATGTTCCATAAAATTGGGCGGCTCAGCATCTCGGATGAAAGAGCGCAAACACATCTAGCGAGAAGCCGAAATGGCTGCGGCCCCATGAGTAATGTCCGTGGGGGTGATTTGAATTATAGTGACGTTTTAATGTACACATTTAATCAAGAACCCATTACTTCCTTACATAAACTGCAAAATGGAGATTTTTAATTTCGGTAATACCTCCGCCGGGCCGCCGAATGACACACAGAGGGCGCTGCGGATCGCTGAATTGCGCCCGGAAAAATTTAATGTCTCGTTTCTATCGGGAAGGCGAATTATATTTTTATGCGCGCCAGCCCTTTTTAGATAATTGTTTTCACGTGAGATTTATGTTTATGGGGGCCGTATATTTTTTCATTTTCTCTAGATTATATTCATTAGAAACTTGCAAGGTTATTATTCTTTCGAAGAAGTAAAACGCGTCTTTTGTAGCAACAATTCAAATGGAGTTAGCTGTCAAAAGTAAAACCAGACTAGACAACCAAAGTGAGTTAGTTAAGAGAGGTAACTAGTACTTAACTAAACTAACTCTTAATGGAAATTTGTAGATCAATTCCATATTGTTTTTTTTTTTTTATAAACCCAGCGATCTACAAAAAATAATGCAAAGAAAAAGTAACATGGTTTTTCGTTGAGACAATCAAGTTATCACGTCCCTTTGACGTCGCAGACAACTCACCTCACGTCGTCACCACCTACGTAGGCACGCGCACGCACATGTACACAAAGCAACATTAATCTAATAGTTATAATTGCGTTCCGTGGGAGTGTAAATAAATTTTCTATTTATCTTGACAAATACGAGCAGTACGAGAAAGCAGTGGGCCACCGAAAGCATTATTTCCTGATGTGTTTCACGGTTCTTCATATTCCACACCGAGAAAAAACTTTCAGTTCAGCTATTAATTAGAGGGATTCCTCTGTAACTGTGTAACTGTAAAATTTATAAAAAAATGGTTTTAATAAAAGTTGTCTGGAATCGCATGGGTCATGTAAAGAATATATTTTTAGCTTTACAGGGTGATCCATTTCGCGTGAGCGCTATATAATTTTGTATTTTAAGTGGAACACCCTGTATATTATTGCGTTTTTGAATTCCTTGGTTAATATTAGGTAGAGTTTATTGAATGTGAATGCAAAATTGAATGCCCTTCCGACTTTGGTTATTTTGTGTCTAGTGTGTAATTTTACCTAAATCTTTTTAAAGTAATGATGAAAATACTTAGATCGAGTTATCGCTCTTAAATTGTTACTTCTAATCATGCACTGGAACGCTATGAACAACAATACACAACAATACCGGCCAGAAGACCTAATTTTCATATTCCTTTGAAGAAGACAGTGATATGCTGTTAAAATGTCAATAAATCTGAACCATTTAGTCCAAGATCATATTAAAATCAAATGCTTTCATTCCGAGGGATAATAAATTATAAAATACTATTTGCGAGGAGCATTTGCAAAATAGTGCGCGCCTCGTATAATCGCTCTATTTAATAAATCAAACAATTCGTTGTATTCACAGCGGCATTTAATTAAAACTCAATAATTAAACAAGTGCTCGCAACTTGAACAACTAAATAAATAGCGGGGGCCATTTCTAAAACAAATTTCCGCTGTTAAAATACGTGCAACTAAAATAGATGAACGCGGCGTACAGAATGGCGGGGTGTTTCGTTCGACCAAAAGAGACGGGACGAAATTTACAATGTGCAAGTTTTTTTCTCGATCGGATGTCCTCCACTCGCGAATTGTCGACTCGGTGGCAGAGACGATTTTACAGGTTCTAATTAGGGCGCATTTTTTTGTAACACTGATACTGCACTATTTATTTTTTCTGGATTCTATTAATGTACTGGTGGCGCACATTGGAAGCGTTGAATAACAACACTAATAATGTTTTGAGAAATATGAGTTAGTCCAGGAGGCAATAGTTAATTTTATTATTTATTGTACAGTTAAACAAGATGGCTGACATCACGAATTGAACCGATATACGAGTATTAAATAATTGACTTTGGTAGCAAATTCGGTACTTTATTTATTTTATAAATGCGCAACTGTTTGGGGTATTAGAGATTTTATTTGTTTTGGTGAAAAGGATTTGACTATCAGCCATTAAATAATAAACATTAGTTTTTAATTAATATTCATAACAATTCGGTTTATTTAACATCACTGGAAATCCGAATACCCTTTTTAATATTACTGTAAAATGTAAACAGGCGAATCATTTATTTGTATTTAATAACGACAGATTTTATATATTTTAAATATTTTTTCTAGATAAACTAAAAACAGGTATATGTGAATTTATTTCAAAATGTAATCAACTTTTGACTCTATACAGGGTGTTACAAGTTGTTAGTGTGAAGAGGATTTTTCCTAATTTTCATAAAAGCGACTAAGGACACATATGAAAAATTTGTATACGAACGAATAGAACGCGTAAATTATTTTATTCCTAATAGCAGTGGCATCGATGCGGGTAGTTTGAGGGGTATAATGGAAGTCAAAATTTTAAAATTTATCAACATCCTCACTGTTTTGAAAACGTTAAAAGAATAGTAAATAGTGTACTAGGTATAGAAAATTGATAAGGTTGAAGGTAAAGGAGATATGTTCAGAGAAAACAGCAGAAGTAGATTTAAAAATATTAACGTGACAAACTTACCATGAATGTTAATATGAATTAAGTAAACTCGGCAAAACAATTAAGGGAGTAAACAAATTTTCAAATTTTTTTTTAGTGATTTTTGAAAGGCTGAAACTTGGTCGTATCGAGAAAATAAAACAGCATTTTCGCGCTTGTGAAGATTCTAATTTTGAAATCTTGAGATGAAAATATTTTTTGAGTATCACTCTCGACGCAATTAAAAGAAATAATGCAAGGCAAAAATTTTACAATCTTTTCCTTGGCAGTATGTACCAGGTTCGATAGCTGACGCAGCAACTTGACATTGAAATATTTGAAAAATTTGTTCCCATATTTATTTAGCCATGCCCATATACAGGTCTGGTCGCCCATTTGAAGAATGAACGCGCGGGCAAACGCGACACAAACACAGCCGCACTGGGCGACCTGGCCATAAATTCAGTTGCCAACAAATGACCTTGCAGTGCAGTGCAGCAATGCGGAATTTGATGTGATTCGGGTAATTTTAATTTATTATA